TTTAGATAGTTTGCAAGTGGTCATAGATGTTGTCTCTAATCAGCTCCAGGTGATTGATTATCCGAACTATGTTTCTGCCCCAAAAATGTTTCACCTCCATAACCATGAAACCCTAAACCAAAACCCAAAATGGAGGAATCAATAACTCAAAAGCAATGAACATGTTTTACCTGTACATGCAAGGATTAACACGCCACTGCCTCACCGTGCCGGAGTTATGGTTGCTGACCGGAGAAACAACAAACGGAGAGAAAGACAGACAAAGACACCAATTGGCGTTGGGGGTGAGATATGGTACAACACTCACTTGTATGCGGTGGTTATTTTAAATTGTTTTTACAACAGGGTCATTTTGGTCAATTCAACCAATTTTTCCATCACTATTTTATCTTCAACCAAACATAAATTTTGCAAATTTACATAAATTTCTCTGGTAATATTTCGGTGAACCAAGCAACTTTTTTAACATTTTTCTACCAAACTCACTTTTCAACCATTTTTTCATCAATTATATTTCACTAGTATTCAAAAAATTTCTCCTCAACCAAACGACCCCTAAGGTATTCTCGAAAAGGGAAAGAACATAAAAAAAGAAAAAAAAAATCGTTGCTGGGGATCAACAATCTGTTGGGCTTCCTCCTTCAATGCTAAGCCCAAGCCCATTTGAGGGGTTTCCTAAAAACCCTAACCCTAATTTCCACCTCCTCTATATATACTCATTAGTTGTTGGTAGAGGCTAGGTCAGATTTGAGATGTCAGATTTGAGAGAACAAATTTGAGAGAACAAATTTGAGAGAAAAATTGTTTGAGTAAAGCTTTATGCTTTGCATTTGAAAGATCTCTAGAGAGAGAGTTTGAGTGAAACATCTCTAGGGTAGTTTGATTATCACCATTGTTGAGAGGTTGAGTTAACCACCACATTGGTGTATTTGATTATTTGTAACCATTATTTTCATAGTGTATTTCTGATGTGGACTAGGTCCCGTGGGTTTTTACTTCTTCATTGGAGAAGGTTTTTCCACGTTAAATCTGGTTGTGTTCTTCTTCTCTCTCCTGTTTTCGTTTTGATTTTTCCGTTGCGCTGCCTGACCTGGTGAAGTTCAGGCCGAGGTATTGTCGAGATCCGAGATCAGCATCTTGTTGATGGACTTCCGCACAAAGGCCCCTGAGCCGAGCTTGAGGGAACCGAGTTTTCCCAACACAATCTACACGAACTATGTCTACGAGAATATTTTTTTGATTATCATTTTTTAAAATTTAAGCGAAGTGTTGACAATTAATTGTAAGTATGAATTGTAAATCGAAGTTAAATCAAGATTTGAAAAAATATAAATTCAATGAGGAGATACCATTCCATAAAATAAATGAGAATATATAAAAAGATATAATCTTATTATTTGGTGCAGTAAGAGATCTAGTCCAGTGGTTCTGTGATCCTTAACATGGCGGAGCTTGAGTGATTGCTCAGGTTATATTGTAAAATAGGAAAAGGGGTCAAGAACTCAAGATGGAGATAGATCCTCCTCCCTAATAAAAAGGTATCACCTTATATTGAACTGGTCATGACTCATGAGAAAAGAAAATTTGTTACAAGCTGCGTTGAGGATCTACTTCCTCCTCGGAACATATGAGACACCTCGAATATCCTCTAATAAATGTGGGTGTTTTCTGCCATACGATGAGATACCTACTATAACTTTGCGCCCTAAGAATTTGATGTGGTCCATTGGGCCTAATGTAGGTTCTGATCCAAAACAATACAAAATTATATAAAATATATGAGAGGAACTTAGACTCTCTCTTTTTTCTTTTTTCTTTTTCTTTTTTCGCGACGCGAATTATTCTTTTGGGGGCGTTTGGTTGAGAAGAAATTTTTGGAATACTAGAGAAATGTAAGTGATAGGGAAATAGTTGGAAAGTGAGATAAAATGAGATAGGTAGGAAAATGTAAAAAAAAAAGTTGTTTGGTGAGAAAAAATTTTACTGGAAAAATTAGGTAACTTTATAAAATCTATGTTTGGTTGGAGGTAAAATATAGATGAGAAAAACAAGTTGGTTTTACAAAAATAATCTTGTTTTAAAATGGAACAAAGGAACATATTTTCAGCAAATGGATACATGTAAATATGACACTAAAGCAGCATAATTTTCAACTGTGAGAGCAACGATTAACCAAATCAGTTTGTTCTGTGTGTCTACTGACGAGGATATAAAGTGAATACCACATGATCAAAGGGAAACAGTATGCCGGGTATCTCCGTGAAATAGATATGCATCTTGGATAGGTAGGATAGTGATTTAGGTAGGTAAATATGAAAGTTGGCTCAACCAAACATGGTGTAGAGATATTCCCACTTCTCACTTACCCATCTATCTCAACATTTTCCCCCAACCAAACACCCCCTTTAGAATAAGTCAGGTTTCTAGAATTTCAGGTATCTCATATAGGAACTCATGTATGTATAGGATTAATTCCGAGACAAGTAACGTGACAATACTCCAAATATCCTCCCCACGAATAAAATCTATGCTCTTTTATAATTCGTCTTGGATCTCATATTACTACTTAAATCTGTGATGATTTCAAATTATATAAATGAGGCATCCATATTTATTTTTATATTTCCTTGGCTAACAAATATGAAAAAATGATAGTTCATAAAATAAATCATGAAATTACCTTTTATGAGTGCAAAATACTCATTCTATGGAAATTCATCAATTTGCCCAAATCTCTCATGAACTAACATGACTTTGAAAAGAATCATTTCAATTCAAAATGTTAAACTATTGGTGAAGGTCATATTAATGTATTTCTCTATTATGTCTTCATCGGGTTTGAAGGGTAGACAATACATATGTCCCTTTTATTTATGTTAAGAAATTTTATAATATTTAATTATTTATTAATAAAACGGAGACAATAAAAATCAAAGTCGTGAACACATAATCACGGGGGCTTTGAACTATGCAAAAGAATTAATTTAAGCCAAAGATTTAAGCTATTAGAATATGATATTTTTCTTACAAAAATTGAAGTTTCATGTTAGTTGCGTTTTAGGCCTATTACTGTTCCTACAGACTTGTTAGAAGTAATTTGAAATCTATGGCCAGTCTTCCACTAGTCTTTCTGCATTGAGTGTTTTCGTTTATTTTGAGGGAATTAACGTTTCCTTTCTAAGTAGGAAAAAAGTAGGAAAAGACCTTATCTCTCTATATATATATATATATATATATATATATATATATATATATATATATATATATATATATATATATGAAAATAAGTAAAACCTAATAAAAAGGAGAAAAAATAAAATAAATATTTTTTTATGTATATGTAAAAAATAAAATTATATTATCTTTACATGAGAAATATTAAATCTTATTTTGAGTGAAAACCATCAATCTAATAAGGGAAAAATGTGTTTGCCTTGAGGGGCGTTTGGTTTCATGCTTTTTGAGATTTTCTTAAGTAAATGAAGTTTGGTTTTTAGAAAACCAATGTTTGGTTCAACAGGTTTTGACCAAAATCCATCTATATGAAATGTCTGGCTTTTTTGAGAAAGATAGTAATTTGCACTGTTTAGAAATCCGATTTGATGGTGGTTTTTTGAAAAAATCCGGGTAAAGCATTGTTGACACATTTTTTGTCATATATTTCCTTGGTAAAATTTTGTCAAACCAAACTACTTTTTTTTAACTTTCTCATCTATTTAATTTTCCATATGGATACTTAATAATTACATTTCTCTATATTCTTAAAACTTATATTCGACCAAACCAAACGATCGCTGAAAGTGTAAAACTATGATATATTTTTCTCGGTATACCTAAACCGAAAAGTAAACAATCTTTTCTTCTATCTTAAGTTAGCGGGTTTCATTTTAAAGGCGTACGAGTTTTTCCAATTATTAATATGAGAAGTCAAGAATCAAGATTTATAAGTTTTTATCTGATTCACGAAAAAAAAAAGGTTAACATTTATTACTTTTTCTTTTGTTTTTTATTCTCTTTAAAAAACTATTTATCTTTTTAAAGGATAAAGTATGTGTTATTTTAAGTAAAATAATAATATTTTATTTAATATTTAATTAAAAAATCTATCAATATTCTTCCACTCTAACATATGGTCTTCTATTGTGTAATTATTTCTCTCACTATAAAATATAATAATTTTAGTTAAGATAACTCAATATTATATTCTTTAAGAGAATAAATACTTTCCCCATGTTCAGCCTTCAAGATATATATATTTTTTTTGGTAGAAAGCCTTCAAGATATTTATAGGTATGTATTGGATACTTAACAATTTTTTATTAATTTTTATGTATCAAAATGAAATTTAATTTGTAAAGAGTAATAAATTTTTCAAAGGATCATATATATTATTCTTAATTTCTTTTTTGAATTTATTGTTAATTAATTATGCATATATTTTTTACAATTTTAAATTTTTTAATTTGTTTTTTAAAAATTTTCTTAAACTATTTATTCATATTCCTTTACAATTTTTAAATTTTCAAAAAATATTTTAATTTTTATTTTACCTAAATTATATAAGCGTCTATTTTTATTTAATTATAAAATAGGCAAATAACACCCCTTTAATCATAATCTGTTTTTGGTACAATTAGGCTACCAGAAATATAAATATTCAATATAGTAATATTAATTCGATATGCCGGATGCAAGATTTTTTCTTCTTAATATTGTATATATCTTAAAATATATTTTAGAGTATGAATATGCATGTTGATGTTTTTAGTCGACTTTTCAATAGTTTTTTGTGGTGTATAATATTTGTGGATTCAAAGGATTGACCACTACATACCCGTAAGAAGAGTGCTATAAAGAGTACCGAAGAAGTAGATGGAAAGAGTACCGAAGAAGTAGATGGAAAGTGTGCCGAAGAAGGAACGTTTATGATTGCTTCTCTTTATCTCCCTATATATAGTACTACTCTGTTGTACATTTTGTTAAGGTAAGCCAAAATGAAGAGAGATAGATACATGAGAAGATCGAGGAGCAAGAAGAACAAGAACCTGCGTATGCCTCAGGAACTGTTAATTCAAATCCTGTTGAGGTTGCCGGTCAAGTCTCTTGTCCGTTTCAAATGTGTGTCTAAGTCATGGCTTTCTCTCATCTCCGATCCCCACTTTGCAAGATCCCATTTTGAACTAGCCCCTGCACGAATCCATAGACTTGTGTTCTTAGCGGCTTCTGCTTATGAAGCTCGGTCCATAGACTCAGATGCACCGCTTTACAATCATTCTTCTGCTGCTGCGGTCAAGCTTGATTTTCTGCTTTCCCAATCTTATCCTCATGCTGAAATTAAAGGTTCCTGCAGAGGGTTTTTACTTTTGGATTGTTATACAAATCTCTATGTATGGAATCCATCCACAGGTGTCCACAAACGAATATCTTGTTATCCTTTGGAGCCCAAATATTTCACGTTTATACATGGTTTTGGGTATGACCCATCAACAGATGACTACCTGGTGGTGCAAGCGTCCTATGATCCAGGTGCTGATTTGACAACCCACATGGAGATTTTCTCATTGAGAACTAATACATGGAAACAAATTGAGGGTGCCCATTTTCCATATATGAATTCATGCGATGATGCCAGAGTTGGATCGTTATTGAATGGGGCTATTCATTGGTTGGTTTGGAATTATGATTTATCACTGAATGTTATTGTTGCCTTTGATTTAACGGAAAGGAGTTGTTCAGAGATACCCCTGCCAGATGATTTTTTCGACGACTTTGAATCTTGTGAATTGTGGGTTCTTGGAGGATTTCTCAGTCTATGGGCTATAGGAGAAGGTACAACTGATATATGGGTGATGGAAGAATACAAAGTGCACTCGTCTTGGACTAAGGCCATTACTGTGTCTACTAATGACATTCCTACTCAATACTTTTCCCCAATATGCTCTACAAAAAATGGTGATATTGTTGGACTAGACGGTACTAAAGGATTTGTTAAATATAATGATAAAGGACTGCTACAAGAGTATTGTAATGATTCACATGGATGCCAAGTGGCTATGTACACAGAGTCTCTACTTTCACTCCCGGGTCACACTGAGCAACCTGAAGAAGATGAATGACAAGAAAGATTAGGTTGTGAAATATTTTCCAATACAAAGATTAAGAAATGCTAGCAGAAGTTAGTGCATGAACTTTAGCATCTTTATGTTATTTCATCATGATTTTTTTTTTTCTTGCTTTTCTTTTTTGAAGGCGAGTATTTTGTGAGGATGTTATTTCTTTGTCAATGTTTGCAATTTGTTTCCTCCTACTCTCTTTACTGAGTTTTTAGCTTGAAGCCTTAATATTGAATTTATCCCATTGCTCGCATGATATTGCATCTGATCCCCGCTATATGAACTTGATGCAACTTTGATATTAATGAAGGCATGCAATTTAGCTAAGCTATGAAATCAATATTATCAATCTTGGCTTCCTTGCCAAATTGAATTAAGGTTTTTATTTTTATATTGGTGTCTTTATTAAGGCATAAATAATAATTTCCTTGATGAAGATATATTTTATCAATATAAATTTTTTCTTTCACTCCATGGATTGACATGAATATCAAGTAATCAAGTAGTGCACCAGAAAGGCAGGAATTACTGAAACTAGTACAGTAGAATGAAATGCTAAGTTGAACAAGAGTAAATTTAAAATAATGCAATTAATCTTTAGCCTTGTTGAGCACCGCATTTGAGAAGGGGCCAACCGATTTCTTTGTGAGGAATCCAGTCCTTAAAACCGTTCCTCCAAAATATTTTAAATGGCAAGGCGCCCAAGTAAAACTAGCCAAGTTAATCTGCACTGGCATGCTTCAAGTGCAACCTCATATTGTGTAAGGGTGTATGCTTTTCACATTAATTGTTTTTGGCAATGAAATGTTGAAACAAAATAGGAATTAAGGACAAGGGATCAAATTGCCCAACTCTTCCCGTGCACTGACACAACCTATTACTGTTCTATAGACTTGTTAGAATGATTTGGGTTTTGCTCGCTTTTTCTCTGGATTTCTGCACTGTTGTAAGCTTTGCCCCCTTATTTTGAGTAAAAAGTAAAAACAATCAATCTTCATGGGTAAAAAACTGCGGTAAATAAGTAGAAGACGATATATTTTTCTCAGTACCTAACTAGAAAAGTGCACCATCATCTTCTCTTCTCTCTCAAGTTCGCATGTAATACCAGAAGTCAACTGGGAAAAGTTCAAATACCCCCATATAATATGCTTTTAAATCACTAATCCCGTATGTTTTTTATTTTTATCATTTACTCTCGTATGCTTCTTTTAATCCAAATATTCTCTCCTAGTGTTAGAATTTCTAATTAATATGACTATTCTATCATTCTTACAAATTTATACTTCAAGGTCTGAAGGTTAAACAAAGATGCGATTTTTCTGTTGTATGTGTTTGTTGAATTACTTGGAGCTGAAACATTGTCTGATGAAAACCAGTCTATCAGAAAATTTATTCTTGTAAAAAGGCCTGACTAAGGATTGCTTGCTGGTCTCTGGAAGTTTCCATCTGTCTTGCTGAGAAGCAACAAATCGCTTCTTGAAAAAAATTCTCAAAATTGACATAAGAAAGACTTGCAATATAATTTTGAGGGAAGATGTTGGGGAATTTGTTCACATTTTCAGCCACATTCGTCTCAAGTTGTATGTTGAATTGCTAGTGTTACAGTTGAAAGGTTTGAGTCTACTTCTATATGGCATTGCAATTTAAAAGTGAAATTTAGTCTTTTATTTCTCCAGATCACATTTACTTTACTTAAATAGGTCATTCTAGATATAAACAATATATTATCATTATTAAATATTTAGGAACTAAATTTCATTACCTACTCATTGAAAGTAATGAAACCTTGAATTTTGCTATAAGGACCATGAGCATCCAGGGGTTTAGCCAAAAGTTCCTTACTTCATTGCATCTCAATGAATAGCATTGGACAAGCTACTATCAGTGACGAAGCCAGGGAAAAAAATCAGGCAGTGCCAAAAGATTCGGCCAGTTAGAATTAGGTGGTGCCAAGGTTATATTATTTTTAAAAATCCAACTAATATTAAGTTTGTATCAAAAAAAATTTATCTTTCTTTCTTCAACTTCCCAGTCATAATTTTTGTTAGTCATAATACAGCTCATATGTAGTTAGAGTGACACAAGCTACATGTATTTGAATATTGAGTGAGTTGGTAACAAATCATCTTTTGACTAGCAGCTATTTTGTATTCTCATATCTTTGAATTCATCTAGTATATGAGATTCTGTGGTTTAAAGAAGACTATAAAAACTGTTGTGCATTCTGGACTATAGCCTATAGATGATGGGCATGAAAATGAATAAAATGATAACACTCTACACATCAATGCTACTTTTCTGTTCTATTGTTAATTTTTTCTTCTGGAAGGGGGAGTCCATGATTTGTTCAAAAGCCAGGACAATGAAACTACAAACTGGAAATGGGTTGACAGCAGTTCCCTTTCAAGTATGGGACTGACAACCAGTGTAACTGTAAGAAAGGTAGTACGCTGCTGCACTTAGCGACCCCACGCTTAATTCTTTTCAATAATAAGCTGCTAGAAATAAAACATATTTGGCAGAAAGGATGCGTTAACAACTTAGGCAGTGTTTGGCGCGCGGATAAAACAGAATGAAATGTTCTGTTCTGATCTCTTTGGCTCTTCCCTTTCGAGTGGAACCCAAATGTACCTACCGTTTTTAGCCTCATGTCATGTTATGTTCCATTTTTAAAATGCACCAATCCTTTCTTTTAGGAAGAACTCAATTGCCACAGCCTCAAAAGAATGATGCTAATGCTGATACAGAAGCCAGTAGTTGAAGTGTATTTTTATAAGAAAAGTAGAATATTCATATTAATTAGAAACTTTAACATAGTTAAGAATGAAGTTGGATGGAATAGAGGGTAAATGATAAAAAAAAACATATAATGGGTATTTGAACTTTTTCCTTTTTTTTTATTTGATTTACCAAATAAGTTAACATTTATATTATTCATTTAAGATGTTCAAAGGTTGGTAATTGATACTTCCCCTACTTAATTATAAAAATAAAATAAAATTATATCTTACCTAAATTTCATAAGCATTTTTTTTTAATTTTAAAAATAAAATAGGTAAAAGAACACCGCCATTATTCAAAATCTGTTTTTGGTACAATCAGGCTAATTACCATCTGACGGATGCAAAAAAAAATTTCTCTTAAAATGTATTTTAGAAGAAAAACTTCACCGGAAGTATTGAATTTGATGCACTATTTTATTAAAAAGGAAAAAAAATTAGGACTTAGGGAAATATAAAAAAAAAAAATGGACAAAAAAAAATTCTTTTTAGTAAAAGAAAATATCAAATTCAGTACTCCCATTGAAATTTTTCTCGTATTTAGAGCATAAATGTACACATGGTTTTGGTGATGTTTTATAGTTGCCTTTTCAACAATTTCTTTGTGATATATGATAGTTGTTGACTCAAAGGATTGACCGCGACAAGCCTACAATTAGGGGTGTTCGTGGTCTGGATTGGATCGGTTTTAGAAGCAAAACTCATCCGATCCAATTCCTTCGGTTTGATCATGTAATCATCCGTTCGGTTTGAATTTTTTTTCAAATCCGATCCGATCCAATCCAAATTTTTTCGGTTTGGATTGGATCGGTTTTCGATTTTTTGAATATCCTAAAATTAGTTTTATGATTATTGTGCAAATAACATCTTTTGTATATATTAGTTTTGTAAAAAAAATATTGAAATACAAAAATATCAGTAGACGATACTATAGTTATTTTTTTTTGCAATGAGATATGAAGTTCTATAAGGATTAAATTTTGTTGATGAGACGTGACTATTTTTTCTTGGGATTAGTTGATGAGTTAATGGGTCTTAGGTTTAGAAATTTTTGAGCTATGATTGAGTAAAGAACCAAGTAAGTAGAGGAAAATTAATATATTAGATCGGTTTGGATTGGATCAGTTTTCATCAATCCATCCAAAAACCGATCCAATCCAATCCAATCCAATCTGCGGTTTTTTGTCGGTTTTCGGTTTTTCGGTTATCGGTTTTTCGGTTCAGTTTTTGCGGTTTGAATCGGTTTGGATCGGTTGATGAACACCCTTATCTACCGTACATATAGGAAGACTATTAAACAAGGGAATGATTCTGTCAAACTTAAAATTCGTATACATGAAATTAATTTGTATGTGTATTTTTCTCTTTTTTTAATATTGACAAATTTTAATTAGATTCCACCTGATCAGGCTATAATTTTTTTATCATGGCAGGATCCGCCTAATTACACAATAATAAAAAAAGGTCACGGTGGATGGAAAGAGTGCTGAAGAAGGATTAATCATGATTGCTTCTCTTCTCTCCCTCAGCCCAATTTTAAATTCACCAAGCAAGAGGGTGCGAAATTGAAGAAAAAGAAAGGAGCAGTTTTCGTCAAAAGAGCAATTGAATGGTAAAATCTTGTACAACTAAGATGAATTTTTGTTGTGTAACTAAGCTGAAATTTTAACCGGAGTTTTTTTCACTCATTGTTCTTCAAGGTGGACTCTGCAACACTTTGTTTCTACGTTAGTAACTCTTCTTTCTTTGATGGTTTCATTTTGATGCATTTCAATTGATGTTGTGCGGTTTGGTTCCGGGATAATTTTAGAATAAATGTTTCATAAGATTCTTGAAATATTTTGCTGTTTTTTCAACATTTAAATGTTTCGTAAGATTCCGAAAATATTTTACTTCATTATTTAGAGGAAGTTTCGTTGCTAGTTTTTTTTTATCATATGTAGTAGTACTATGCATCATTTTCAGGGTAAGCTAAAATAAGGAGAGACAATTAGAGAGGATTAAGGAGCATGGAGAACAAGAACCTGCATCTGCCTCAAGAATTGTTAATTCAAATCTTGTTGAACTTACCCGTCAAGTCTCTTGTACGTTTCAAATGTGTGTCCAAGTCATGGCTTTCTCTCATCTCTGATCCCAACTTTGCAAGGTCGCATTTTGAACTAGCAGCTTCAGCCTTCACGCACCCATAGGCTTTTCCTATCGGCTTCTGGTTCTGAAACTTGGTCCATAGACGTAGATGCATCGCCTTCTGATCATTCTGCTTCTGCTGCAGTAGCTTAATTTTCTGCTTCCCGAACCTTTCATTCATATTCAAATCGAAGGTTCCTGCAAAGGGTTTTTACTTTTGGAAATGGATTGTTTTTCATCGACCGGTGTTCATAAACGAATTTCTTCGTCTCCTCTTAACTCCAATTTGAATGTCATGTTTTTCACATTTTCCTATGGTTTTGGATATGACCCATCAACAGAAGACTACTTGGTGGTTCAAGCTGTTAAGAAGATATCAAATGATTGGGAAACCCACTTGGAGATTTTCTCATTGAGAGCTAATACGTGGAAAGAAATTGAGGGTACCCCCTTCCCTTACATGAATACCTCTGATGTTCCAAGAAATGGGTTGCTTTTCAACGGGGCTATTCATTGGTTGGCTTTTAACTATGATGAAACAGTGAATGTTATTGTTGTCTTTGAATTAGTGGAAAGGAGCTTGTCAGAGATACCCCTGCCAGATGATTTTCATTTCGAATTTGACTTTGAATTTTGTGATTTGTGCGTACTTGGAGGATTTCTGTGTTTTTGGGTTCTAGGGGAAGTTACAACAGATATATGGGCGATGGAAGATTACAAAGTGCAGTCTTGGACTAGGACTATTATTGGGTCTACTAAAGACATTCCTACTAAATACTTTTCCCCAATATGCTCTACAAAAAGTGGTGATATTTTTGGAATAGACAACAGTGCACGAGACAGGTACTGAAGTTCCTCATATATTGATAAAACGAAAAACTGAACATTACAACTTTCTCAAGACGTACTTATACTCATAACTACAAAACTGAAACTGACTTAATCACGGTTATGCAGTTAGCTCTGACTTAACCATACACGGTTATGCAGTTAGATCAAAGAAAAACTGTTAACTCAATCTGTAACTGAATTCGATGACGTGGCAACTGGTGCAGCTGGATGATTAGTCTCCAATAGCCCCCCACAAGCTGGACGATGTATATTGGACATCCCCAGCTTGGAAACAGCATGAAGGAAAGAACCAGGAGGCAATGGCTTGGTGAACATATCGGCGATTTGAGCAGCAGAAGAGATGGGAAGAAGATGCAGTAAGCCAGATTCAATTTTGCTGCGAGTAACATGGCAATCGATTTCGATATGCTTAGACCTTTCATGAAATACTGGGTTACGGGCAAGATGAATGGCAGAGTTACTGTCACAATAAACGGAAGCTGGATGTGTCCATGGAAGGCAAAGATCTTGAAATAGATATTGAACCCACTGGAGCTCACAAGAGAGATGAGCTAGAGCCCTATACTCAGCTTCAGAGGAGGAACGACTGATCGTGGTCTGTTTCTTGGAACGCCAATGCACATGGGCTGAACCTAAGAATACGCAAATACCAGTGACAGACTTCCTGGTGTCGGGACAGGTAGCCCAATCAGCATCAGTGAAAGCCTGAACTCGAAGATCATTATTAGCGGGAAAGAATAGACCAGAACCAGGAGCACCTTTGAGGAAGCGAAGGATGCGTTTTGCAGCAGCAAAGTGGACAGTAGTAGGACGAGCGACATATTGGCTGAGACGATGCACAGCGAAGCAAATGTCGGGCCTGGTGTTAGTCAAGTAGAGAAGACGGCCAATCAAACGACGATAAGGAGATGGATCATCGAGAACTTCTCCCTGATTGGAATGAAGTTTGACAGAGGCATCCATAGGAGTAGAGACAGGTTTACCACCCAAAAGTCCTGCATCTGAAATGATCTCAAGAGCATACTTCCTTTGATTCAACACAATTCCACGTGAAGAACGAGCAACCTCCAATCCAAGGAAGTAACGAAGATCACCCAAATCCTTAATCTTGAATTTATCATCCAGCATTTGTTTCACACGAGTGATTTCAGATAAGGCAGTCCCACATATCACAATATCATCAACGTATACCAATAAAACAGTAAAGGAGGATGATGTTTTGAGGGTGAAAAGAGAGTGATCAGCTTGTGCCTGAATGTAACCAAGCGAAATCAAAAAGGAGGAGAGCTTGGCATGCCACTGTCGACTTGCTTGCCGTAAGCCATAAAGGGACTTCTGTAATCGACAGACCTGACCAGGCTTATCAAGATGAAGACCTGGAGGAGGCATCATATACACTTCTTCGTTAAGGTCTCCATGTAAGAAAGCGTTGTTTACATCTAATTGATGGATGAACCAGTTCTTCGAAGCTGCTACAACAAGTAAAATGCGAATGGAAGAGATCTTTGCCACAGGCCTGAAGGTATCAAAAAAATCTACACCTTCAATTTGGGTGAAGCCCTTAGCAACAAGACGCGCTTTGTAGCGTTCAAGGGAACCATCTGACCTGTATTTGACCTTAAAAACCCACTTGCAACCAATGGGTTGTTTGCCAAGGGGAAGATCAACCAATTTCCAAGTATGGTTCTGTTTTAAAGCCTGAAGCTCAGTAGACATTGCCTTGCACCAGAGATCAGACTTAGCAGCTTGTGAATAAGAACTTGGTTCCACATGAGAGGAAACATTAAGACAGAAATGTGTGTATGTGGGTGAACAAGCAGTGTATGTTAAGACAATGGATAAGGGATATTTAGAAGGAGTGGAGGAAGAGGGAATCATACCTTGGCAGAGATTGATACGTTGAGTGTGAGATGGGCTACATTGATATTGCTCTAAGTACTTTGGAGGAGCCCGAACACGAGTGGAACGACGAAGAGGAGGAGAGGAAATGCTGAGAGCTGGTGGTATGGGGTTAGGTGATGAGGCTGTGGTAGAGGATGGGTTAGGTAATGGGGCTGTGGTAGGTAATGAGGTTGTAGAAGAATAAATGGGTGAGGGTACAATATGGGGAAGGTAACTGTCAAAATCAAAAGGTGAAGTGTGTGAAGATGGTGGGTATGGTTCAGAAAGTGGTTGAACAATGGGATCAATCAAAGGTTGATTGTTGAATGAGAATATATGTTCATAAAAAATAGCATTTCGAGACAGAAAAAGCTCCCTGGATTGAACATCATATAATAAACAGCCTTTGACACCTGCTTTATGACCCAAGTACACTGCCTTTCGTGCCCTTGGTTCAAACTTTGTGCGATGGTTATGCAGAGTGGATGCAAATGCTAGGCATCCAAACACTCTCAGGTGTATTAATGAAGGAGGAGTACCATGAAGGACCTCATAAGGAGTTTTATCCTGGAGAAGAGGTGTGCAGGTACGATTGATCAAGTGAATAACATGGGTTATGGTATGGTTCCACAGTTTGATAGGTACTTAGGACTGAAAAAGTAAGGCTCTTGCCACATTTAAAATGTGTTGATGCTTACGCTCCACTCTTCCGTTTTGCTGCGGGCACTCAACACAACTCCTTTGGTGTGTAATGCCCTTTTGAAGATAGAACTCAGTCATTAAGAATTCATTTCCGTTATCACTTCGAATTGTAGTAACAGTGGTTCGAAAGTGATTCTCAACAAATGCAATGAAATTCCTCAAATGTACTCTAGTTTCTGCTTTATTTTTCATCAAAACTATCCAAGTATACCTTGAAAAATCATCTACAATTGTTAGAAAGTATCTATGACATTCAACAGATGGAGTAGAGTAGGGTCCCCAAATGTCTACATGAATTATATGGAAAATCTTCAATGATTTTGTCAGGCTAAGGGAAAAGGGCAATTGCTTTTGCTTTGCCAAATGGCATATATCACACGGGCTTACATGTTTAACAGGAATAAAGGAAAACTTAGAGGACATATTTTTCATTACAAGTTCAGATATATGCCCTAGTCTTGAGTGCCATAAGACATGATCACCCTTATTCTGGTTACAAGAATTCAAAGCAGTATGTAACTTCTTGCAATACGCAGCATCCCTTCCAGTCCTCCCATCAATCACATATAGCCCATCCCTTTGCTCAGTTGTACCAATCTTCGCCTGAGTATGGAATTCCTGAATAACACAAGTTGAACCACGAAATATCTATTCACAAGGGATGGTACTCAAAACCTTTGTGACAGAAATCAAGTTCACCTTAAATTCTGGTACATAAAGGACATTAAACAGAATCATTTTTGGGGATATATGGACAGTTCCTGAGAACTTAGCAGTGGCACAATGACCATTGGGCAGGTTAATCATGACAGGCTTAATTTTGTGAATATGAGAGAGCTGTGAATAAAGGTAAGTAACATGATCAGTGGCACCTGTGTCGAGTATCCACTTGCCATGTATGATACCTGGTTGTGAAACTTGGTCAGTATTCACATTTGAAACTTGTGTAAAATTAGCTGCATGCGTGGTTGACAGAGCAGTGTTCTTATCCAAGATATTAAGGAGGTGTTGAAATTGATCGTTGGACAAAGACACACCAGAATTGCTGGCTATCAGGTTGCTCATATCGTGTATCTTGCATAGCATTGTTCACATTATGAGTAACAATGCTCCTTGGTTTGTAAGTCAGTGGAAATCCATGAATATGGAAACAAGTATCCACCGTGTGGTTAGTCCTACCACAATGTGTGCACATTTTATTTCCTTGAGTGCGTCCTCCATTATAGTTATTAAATGTAGTTCTTCCTCTTCCTCTAAAGCCACGTCCACCATAGTTATTACTCTGTCCACGTCCACCATAGTTACTTGATGAACCTCGAAATGAGTTTTGCTCAGTAACAACAGCAAAGGTTTGAGCATTCGTGGATCTATTTTCTCCCTGAAATTGACGTTCTTGATGTACTACCATAGAAAAGACTTGATTAGCATCTGGAAGAGGAGTAATGAGCATGATCTGAGACCTAACTTGAGAGTATTGATCGTTCAAGCCTTTCAAGAAACGAATTACTTGATCTTTATCTCGATATTCCTTCATCTTATCATATCCTCCACAACAGCAACGAATTCTACAATTACACGTTGGAAGTGGCTTGAGATTCTCAAGTTCATCCCATAAGGTCTTTAACTCAGTAAAAAACTCTGTAACATTCTTATCTCCTTGCTGTAATCTATAAAATTCTTCTTGAAGATCAGATACACGAAACAAATCTGATCTGGAAAATCTCTTTCTCAGATCTGACCAAATATCACTTGCTCTTTCTATCCAAATCACAGATTGAACAATAGGTTGAGATATGGATTTATGGATCCAAGCACTCACCATATTGTTGCATCTCTGCCATGCAAAGAAATTCTGATCGGTTTCCGAAGGTGGAGTTATGCTACCATCGACGAATCCGAGTTTGTTCTTCGAAATGAGAGCTACGGTCATAGCCCGAGCCCATGTATGGTAGTTACCATTACTCAGCAATGGAGTAACTAAGACAGTTGATGGAGATTCATTCGGATGCAAGAAAAACGGATTAGAAGGATTAGTATGAAAATCTGGAAGGGAACTTTGGTAGATTGTAGGTTGTTGATTCACTGTTGCTTCATTATTCACTGGCGATTGATCATCAACGAATGGAGCTTGATCAGCCATGGATACGAAGCATTAAAGAAAAAAAAATTATCTCTCCTATGATACCAGAGCTCCAATTTAGAGCTCTGATACCATACTGAAGTTCCTCATATATTGATAAAACGAAAAACTGAACATTACAACTTTCTCAAGACGTACTTATACTCATAACTACAAAACTGAAACTGACTTAACCATGGTTATGCAGTTAGCTCTGACTTAACCATACACGGTTATGCAGTTAGATCAAAGAAAAACTGTTAACTCAATCTGTAACTGAATTCGATGACGTGGCA